TTTTTTATGGTGCCTCTCTACCCAAATTTGGTTCAAAAAATCAATTTTTTTTATTACAGATTATGTTTCCTTTCATCCTAATGAATCTGAAAATGTTATGATAATCAGCAAAAAATCATGAATTGATCATGAAAACAGAATTTTATTTTTTTTCCATAAACTTTGTAAAATAAAATAGTTAAAAATAGCAAAAATAATCTTTTAGTTATCACAGCTTTTTTTAAATTTTGTTCTCAGAAATAATAAAAATACCTTGCAGTTTTGATTTCATGTTAATGTAGCGCCCCCTTTCGATAATAACTGCTAGCAGCATTGACTGCCACTATTCATTTTTTGATTGTGATCTCTTGCATTTGTACTCTATGGTTCAATTTGAATACAAGCTCAGGCAGCTGACTGATGTAAACAAGAAATCATATGTTCATTACAACTCCATCAACGCATATATTGGTATTCAAATTATTCTACTAATATTTAGTCAAACGAAATTTATTCATGCACCTTGGCATGAATGAAAAAGTGGTACGAACAAATTTCTCCAAACTAATCTGTAACAATTTGAAGATGGGTGGTTGTTTAGAATGAGTGGAAATAGATAGATTGATAGGAAATAAGTATCAACCTCAAGAAGCATGGATCAGAATTGATTTAAAAAGGTGTGATTGAAAATAAATTTGCTCATCTAGTTAATTTAGATTCATGTAATGAAGGTGATTCAAGTAATATGAATTTCATCCCAAATATTTGTTAATTTATGAAAGTGCTCTTAGTTAATACATTTTATTTTGTATTGGCTATACAAGAATATATAGTAGTTTATGTGAGAATGTTTAACATAATGTGTTCTTACTCGAGTGTAGCAATGATAGAAAAAGTGTGTATGCAGCTAGGGAGTTTGAAATTGAATTGATTATAATAACTGTGTGGAGGATTCAATGTTTTCTCTCTGTCTAAAATTATTTATTGTGATGTGAATATCAATTGCGTTGGAATTGGATTTAGACAGCTGTGATACTGAGAGATTGCCATTAATTATTCTGATGAAATCTGTGATGAAGAAGTTGGATGTGTAATACTTTTCCTAATAATTATTTGAGTGGAGAATCAAATAAATTGTTTTTTTTTTAAATATGAGTTTTCTCAGTTTCTTATTTTCCCTAGTTCAAAATAGTGCTTGCGTATGGAAGAAATATGAACTGATCTATAATTTTGGCTTCGGTTAACATTTGTTTTGAAAAAGGGTCATCTTTTCAGATTTTGGATTTTCATCGATGGTTTTTTTTGGTGCCAAAGGGCATAAGTGAAAAGTATAGAAATTTTATAATGTTATATAGACTACATCATACAATTTAATTATAGACATTGAATTGGTCAATGAAAATTTAGAAAAAATTACTGTCTATTTTATACGCATTGGAATATACATGAATTTTGGTAAAGGTGAAAAGTGTAATGGCATACGCAAGTATTTTTTGAGAAATTGGCCATTTTTATTTAAAAAAAACACATTATTAAACATTACTCCATGGAAAATCATAGAAATCATTTGAAAATTGGTAAGTAACTTTACAAAATGTGTAGTAATACATGGGTAAACTGTAATCCAAGTTAAAGGTAATAACAAACAAAATTCTTTCTTGGGTAGAGAGGCACCTTAACGTAGAATTTAAATTTGAATTCAGATTGAGTTTATCATTGATCGTTCTTTTTGAATTTTAAAAACTATGCAAATTTGGATCTATTTTTTAATTAATTTTTTTAATTTGATGGGCAGAAAAAGGGTATCACAAAGGTTTCCGGACTTGTACCAGAGTGGTTTCTGGTTTTATATAGTATATAGAACGAGTAAATTTCATGTCCAAAAACGCACCCATCGTTTGAAATTTTGACGAAACGGTGAACGAATTGTAGTACTTTTTGGGATATTCTCATATATTATTATTAATTATATCATAAATAATCCATAGATATGTAATCAGTATTCAAAATTCTCAAAAATAGCTATCCAGCTTTCTTGCAATAGAAAATGTGTGAATTTTCGTGAAAGTGAGAAGTGAATGAATGTGACTAATATACACAAAATCATGAGGTTTTGATGCTTACCCATTTTTTCTCTCAATTTTTTAGCTTCGCCAAACATGTACTTGCTGCATGGTATATGACGTCTTACATTGGCCAACTTCCAACTTTTAGGCAAAAGAGTTAGTAAAGAAATTTTCTCATTAAAAGTCGTTGAAGGAACCAGATATTTTTCTTGTATGTTCGAAACAATTTCTCTGAACCAACCAGATTCGTCAGATGTTTCTGTAATATTATATTGTGGCAATTTTACATTAGCGATATTTCCAAAAGTTTCTGAAACTTGATTAACAACATTCTGTAATATTTTCACACCTTCATTTATTGTACGATCGTTAGACAACTTTTGACGCTTGAATGGAGGTATACCAAAAATTTCAAGCATGTCATCAAATTTCCTTTTTTTTTGACTATCTGATTGAAATTCAGAACCAGAAGAGCTTTGAGAGTAGTCTGGTGTGTCTTTTGCAGCATCAATTTTTTTCACTTCATCACTGCATTCCAATAATGAGTTAGGAGAGCATTGCTTTAATTTGAAAATACAATCATCCAAACGTGAACTGCAAATATTGCAAATCTTATGCTCAACGGTGAATTTCTTATTACACATATTCACTAGATGATCTATATACTCTTGCTTCAAGCAGACTAAATTTTCATCAATTTTGCTCCTATGCTTTTCAAAAGGATCAATACAAAAATTCAACTGTTCTTTGAAAGTTTTGATTTCTTCCAAAAAATTGCTATAACAATTTTTACAAAGTTGTTTTCCTGGTACCATTTCATATTGACATATTCTCTTAATATCTTTTGCATATTCTAAATCAATAATAATCAGAGGGGATATGACATTTTTGGCATGTTTATTGCATGGATCACAACAATGTTTCTCATCCAGTGAATAATATTTAATATATTTCTTATAGTGATAATCACATATAGATTTAGTTTCAATATTGTCTATACCAGGTACCCTCAATGACAGAAGTTGTAATTCTTCATCTGATAAATTATTATTCTTATGCATACTTGTATCAGCACGGAATCTTTGTGCATGGCACTTGTCTTTGACCAAATTACTAACACAACAACTGTCGATATTAGACATTTTGTTTTCTGTATCATACAATTATAAAATTAATAATTTGAAATCACTACTTGCAATTAGAATATTATCTTTTTATTGAGTTAACTGTTATGTATTTAAATCAAGACTGAGAGCATGTTATGAATTGAAAAGCTAGAATTGCTATGTCAACGATGAATACAGCTGTAGAATAGAATGTAACTACGTCAAAAGTTATTATTGAAAAAATAAAAAATTAACTTACATAATTCGATAGTGCGGGAATAAATTCATTGAAATAATTGATAGAATTATTTGTGCGTTATTATTAGGATTTGTTAACAATAATAAGGATGAGTCTAGATACCGAGGTACCTTCTCACACTTTCCAATTCATTTGCACGAACAATGTATTAATTTGACAACTGGTTTGATATCTACTGGTAATCAAAATTGACTTCAATATCAATCGAATGTCAAACTAAAAACCTCAATGTACACCCAACGTGAATTGAATCGCGACCCCCCCCAGTTAGGTTGGTATGAGACTATGAGTGCTACTTTCAGTCCGTAACGGTGGTTTTCCGATCGGCCATAGTATAACGCTCGTTCTTAAATTATATAATTAAAACCTAAAATCAAATAATCATGCATCTAAATTCATTGTTCGGCAAACAATTAATTTTAAACCTAAAAACAAATTAGTAACGTTTTAGCTTTTTATCGTATCTTAAAACGGATTTTCATTTTTGAATTTTCCCGCGGTTTCTTCGTTCCGATGATACGACGGAATTCTCATACCAACCTAACTGGGGGGGGTCGCGATTCAATCCACGTTGGGTGTACATATCTACAGGCATTGCGCATGCGCATGAGTACCTGACTGACTATGACTATTTTGTAGGGATCATCCGAATATTCACTTTGGAATTCTTATAGAGCATCAGACTTTACTTCGTTCTACCATTTTTTTTTCGTCGAATGAGTTGAAGCTACCAGATTGAAAATAACCGGGAAAATAACCGAATCTTCAGTTATCCAGTGATAAATACGGAAATGATTTTCATATTCCTATTTAGAAATGATTTGAAAAATCATCGGGATACGCTGAAAAATCGATAAAATGAGATGCCCGCCCACTGTATGATGGGGTTCGATATCCGGTTCCCGACAATTTTTACCTTGTTTGGGAACATTTTTTTGAGTTTGTCTGAAATTTTCAGCTCGATCGAAATAGGCGAACGCATTTTAATCATCACTTGAAAATCGCGAAAAATGCGATTTTTGTTAAAATTGCCAACTTTGAAAGGCCGTATCTCCGTCAATTTTTGATGTATTTCAACGTGCGAGAGTTAGTTTTCTTCGTCTTAAAAAGACCACACAGATGAGTTTTTATGTGATCAAAAAAACTCAAAATTGACACTTTTACAGGGGTTTGAAGATGAGGTAAAATCGAGTAAAACGTATTTTCTGTCCGTTTGAATGCTTCCTGATTACATGAGCTAATTTTGAAATACACCAAAAAAAAGTACGTTAAAATAGGAAGAGAGTGAGCTGTGGCACAATATTTTAGCATCAAAACTCACCATTCTGTGGTCTTTCAAAAATGATCATTTTGAGCGCGATTTTGGCTCGATTTTGAGACTTTGAAAAATTCTAGGGACCCCAAATCTAGTTCTAAAAATTCAAAGAGTCATATTTCAACCAATGGAGCATGAAAAAAAATTGGCGTCGAAATCGGTTGACCCCCCGCGCACGGTTTGGCCGAAAAGTATTATTTTGACCCATATCTATATACATTATATATATATATATATATATATATATATAATATAATGGTGAATTTGATGTATAGGTTACTTCATTCTATGCAGCATCATCTCGATTTGGCACTCCCGAGGAATTAAAGCAATTAGTCGACGAAGCTCATAGAAATAATTTATATGTATTTCTGGATGTCGTACATTCCCATGCTTCAAAAAATACGTTAGATGGTTTAAATATGTTTGATGGAACTGAGGCATGTTTTTTTCATTCTGGATATAAAGGGCAACATCCGCTATGGGATAGCAGATTATTTAACTATGGAGATTACGAAGTATTACGGTTCCTGCTGTCAAATTTACGTTGGTATATAGAAGAATACAAATTCGATGGATTCAGGTATGTACCATTAAAATTTAATTAGAAACAAATTATAAATTACTAGAGAACCATCTGACTATAATGTCACCTTGCCTTATATTGCGGAAAAGTAGAGTATTTTAATTGTCATATATTTCAAATGTAATATTTTCCAAATAAGTTTTAATACGTACATACGTACATACATTGAGTTTTATCTTCATCTAATTCTTCAAATTCATCACACACACACACACACGCGCACACACACACACACCACGGATCTACTTAGTAGGCTAAGTGGACGGGGAGGTGAACCCCGACGTGACGCGTCCCAGGTGGCGGATAGTGAGGCTCGCTTACTATTGGTTCGCCAATAGCGGGAGGGTCTTAGGGAAATGAAATACCTTTCGCGGACCAAACACAAACCCTGTCCAGGGTCACGAACTAGGAGTAGGAGCTCAGAATATAAACCAATTATGGCGTGTACAATACAAAGTAAATCGTTTACGGTGCAACGGAGGGATACCCTAGTACCGGCGCAAGTGAGAAGTGAGCAAGCGGGCTCCCCGGCGTCGTCATCACATGACCGCAGTGCTGCAGGTGTTGGTCACCTGGCCCCTGTGGCATTCAAAACTACAAGTGACCTAGGAGAAAAACTCAACTTTCTCGAAGATGCTATAGCTGACCTCCTGCAAATGCTGGAGGACAAGCAGCAGAGAACAGTGAATAATACTACACGCGAGTGTAAAAGGAAAAACCAGGCCGTAAGAGCACCGCCTGAAACGAAGGAAGCTAGTACAGAAGCACGGGCTGGACGGGCGCATGACCCCGAACAACAAATGGATAAAGCCAAGGAGAACAGCAGCGGACGAGGTCAGGATCAGGGCTGGGAAACTGTGAGGAAGAAAAAGAAAGAAAAGGAAAAAAAGAAGAAGGTAACTAGGAGACACTCTCCGACCAAACGAGGTCCCCAAAATCTTCCAAACGCTCTCCTGATTCGAGCCAAAGACAAGTCATTTGCGGACTTGTTTAAGAAAGTGGAGCCACTGTTTACTGGCGGCGATAACGAAGAAGTGGGCAGTGAGCTTAAGCAAATCAGGAGAACCACAAAGAAGGACATGCTCTTCGTCCTGAAGAACAGAAATGCGAGCAGAACGGAAGAGCTCCAAAAGCAAGTGATGGAAAAGTTGGAAGGAGAAGCCGAGGTATTTAGCAAAGTACAGGAGGCTGACCTGGAAAATAAGGAAATAATGGAAGGGACCTCCAAGGAGGAGGTAGCACAGACGCTGAAGAAGGTGGCAGGCCCAGAGTGGAACATCACAGTAGACTCGATCATAAGAATGCGTGACTACTACGGCGGCTTGCAGGTGGCATTGGTTCAACTAACTGCCCTGCTCGCCGATAAGCTCACGATCGGTAGAGCCAAGGTACTAATAGGACCCATCAGCTGCCCTATTAGAGTTGTAAACAAACCGACTAAATGCTTTAAGTGTTGGCATCTGGGCTATATCGCGACACAATGTAAAAGTGACATGAACCGCTCGGGCTGCTGTCTGAAATGTGGTAAAAACGAGCACAAAATAGCCCAGTGCACAGAAGATGCTCACTGTATGCTCTGTGCAGAGGCAGACCCGCAACAGGATTGCGACCACGTCGCAGGTATCGTTACCTGTAGAGTACGGAGGGAGGAACTCCGAAAACAAAACCAAAGAAGAAAATGAAGGTGGTGCAAATCAACTTGAATCACTGTGCAGAGGCACAAAGCATGCTGGAGCAGTCATTTAGAGAGCAGCAAGCAGATGTGGCCATCATCTCAGAGCCGTACAAACAGCTTGATCTCCCGACCTGGGCAACAGATAGCTCAGCAAAGGCGGCTATTTGGTCGTGTGGAAAGCTTACTTATCAAGAAGCAGCAGATACAATGAAAAAAGGGTTTGTTCGCGCAAAGATCGGAGGCGTCTACTTTTACAGTTGCTATGCTCCGCCACCCCCAACCTGGGAGAGTGAAGACTTCACTAGCTTCATAAATGCATTGACAAGAGATTTTGAGGAACATGTCCCTGCGGCTATTGCTGGTGACTTTAATACCTGGGCAACGGACTGGGGCAGCAAGAGAAACAACGGACGAGGCCACATACTGGTTGAGGCAATGTCCTTACTCGATGTGGTATTGCTAAACGTGGGAGATGAGCCAACGTTCGAAAAAAATGGTAAATTCTCGATCGTTGACCTAACCTTTGTTAGCAGTAGGCTGGTGTCAAACGGCAATGATTGGAAGGTGACTGATGAGTACACATTAAGTGACCACAAACTCATCACATGGACAGTATCGACCAAGCGTCAGCTAAGTCAAATCAGTCGAAATCAGTGCCACCGTGGATGGAAGATCAGCGTCTTCGAAACAGAGAGCTGTATCAAAGCACTCGACGGTACACGCACACGCTTAGAAAGCGTATCACCGATGGTGGAAGAGGTAATGAGTAGAGTTACAGATGCGTGTGATGCAACCATGCCACGCAAAGGTGGCAAAAACAACAAAAAATCTGCTGCCTATTGGTGGAATAATGACATTGCAGCCCTACGGAAGGATTGCATCCAAGCAAGAAGAGCCGAAACAACAGGAAGAAAGAAGAAGAGACTGAACATCGAGGAGTTAAAAGAAGAACACAGGAGAGCAAGATTAGAGCTGGTTAAAGCAATCAAGTCGAGCAAAAGGCTATGCTGGACGGAGCTAGTGGAAGAGGTTGACGGTGACCTGTGGGAGGAGACCTTACAAGACCGTCATGGCTCGCCTGAAAAAGCGGGCAACTCCATCACCAACATGCCCTACTATGCTGCAAAGGATAGTGGAAGTACTTTTTCCCCGGAGGAAGGAAAACCAGTTCCGAGTTGAGCAAACCAGCATAGATGCGCCTCCACTAATATCCCTAGGAGAGTTGCAAAGAGCATGCAGCAAGATAGGTAACGCGAAGGCCCCTGGCCCGGATGGAATCCCAAACATAGCCTTAAAAGCAGCCATAAAAGCTTACCCACAGCTATTCCTCACGATGTACAACAAGTGCTTAAGCGAAGGTGTGTTTCCTGCAGAATGGAAAAAGCAAAGACTTGTTCTCCTCCCCAAGGGAAACAAGCCACCGGATGATCCCTCATCATATCGCCCACTGTGTATGCTTGACACAGCCGGCAAAATCTTGGAGCGAATAATATACGCAAGGAACGAAGAAATGACAGACAAATAGCTCTCGGAACGACAGTTTGGATTCCGTAAGGGCCGCTCAACCCATGATGCCATTAATCTGGTCGTCGAAACAGCAAGCAAAGCCATAGCTGGAAAAAGGTGGAAAGGTAGAAAGTAGGAATACTGCCTGGTAGTTACTTTAGATATAAAAAATGCCTTCAATTCAGCACTATGGAAGAGAATAATGGAAGCACTAGAAAGGTTCAATGTACCAAAGTACCTACAAAAGATGGTGGCATCATACTTCAAGGACCGAATCCTAATGTACGATACAGAAAAGGGACCGCAAGAATTTAAGGTTACTGGGGGGGTGCCTCAGGGCTCTGTGCTTGAACCACTTCTCTGGAACATCATGTACGATGGACTGCTGCGAGTCCAACTACCAAGAGCTGTTACACCAGTAGCTTTTGCTGACGATGTAGCCTTGGTAATAGTCGGCAAATATCTGGATGAACTGAAAAACCTCTTTCGATTAAGTTATGGCAGGTACAAAGAGTATCTAGACTTCATCGGACAAGAACTTGCTGAGCACAAAACCGAAGCGGTACTCATATCAAGCAGGAAGATAGTTGAGACCATTACACTTAAGGTGGGACCACACGAAATCACATCCCAGCCCTCTATAAGGTACCTAGGCGTGGTGATTGACACCCGTCTAAACTGCTATGAGCAAGTTAAGCAAGCCGCTATAAAGACATCAGTGGTTAGAGCAGCATTGTCAAGGCTTATGCCAAACACAGGAGGATCAAAGCAGAACAGAAGATTGCTCCTGGCGTCAGTTATAACGTCTATAGACTGAGCGCACTTAGAGTGGCAGCAGCGTTCAGAACGGTGTCTAAGGAGGCTGCAGAGGTCATCACGGGCATGCTGCCGCTGGAAGAGCTGGCTGAAGAAAGAAGACGAGTCTACGAGACAGGGAGAAGAGGACCAAACGAGGATGCCCATGAAGTAACAATAAGGGAGAGGCAACTAAGCCTATCACGATGGCAGAAGACTTGGGACAAAGCTGAAAAGGGAAGATGGACGCACCGCCTGATTCCCGAAGTGGACAAGTGAATAAACAGAGTGCATGGTAGTAGCAACTACTATTTGACGCAGATGCTGTCAGGCCACGGGTGCTTTCGGGCGTACTTGTATAAATACAAATACGAGGATTCCCCGGAGTGCCCAGCCTGCAGCGGACAAGAAGAGAATGCAGAACACGTGTTCTTTGCCTGTCCCAGGTTCGAGGAATACAGACATGACCTAGAGTCATCACTGGAGCAGCGACTAACACCTGAGACTATGGTTGAAATCATGCTTTCTTCAGAAGAAGCATGGAAGAAGATGACAACCTTCGCGACTAAGGTTCTCATAGACCTACGCCACGAAGAGCAGATTCGGACGAAGAACAGGACGATACAGACCTGACGACGAAGAGAGAAGATAAGACTGAGGTGTACATCTGACGACCCGAACTCCTCCGAAGTGGGGGAGACGTAGGGAAGAGATGGCCTCTTGTCTAACAAAATAGGGTGAAGAAAGAAGATCATGAAGATAATGAAGAGGAGGTCCTGGCAGAAGTCGTAACTAACGTTAGTACCTGTCAGGATCCAACATTCCTGGGGTTCCACTCAAGGTTTTATCCAGCCTTCGAAGTCCCCCCAAAAAAAAACACACACACACACACGCACACACACACAGATAGATGGATTAAAAAACAGGCGAATCCTCATGGACGTTGTAAGGACTTCTACCCTCGTCAATTGAAGCCATGGTATATTATAACTGAAACATTTTGGGGATATGCCTGCCGACT